GTACCCTGTGCCCCCAGCGGCCCCACCCTGTGCCCAGTGCCCCCCAACACCCCCACCCTGCGCCCTGAGCCCCCAGCCTGGGCCTGTGTGCCCAGCGCCCCCACCCTGTGCCCTGTGCCCCCGGCACTCCCACCCTGTGCCCCCAGTGCCCCCAGCCTGGGCCTGTGCCCCCACCCTGTGCCCCCCAGTGCCCCCACCCTGTGCCCTGTGCCCCCAGCCTGGGCCTGTGTCCCCAGCGCCCCCAGCCTGTGCCCTGTGCCCCCAGCACCCCCAGACTGTGCCCTGTACCCCCCGGTGTCCCCATCCTGCACCGATACCCCCCCCAGATTCTCTGTGCTGTGCTCCCCCAGTGCCCCTTCAAGAGGGGCCCCAGCACTGTGCCCCTCGTACCCAAGGGGGGAGCCCAGCACAGTGGGGGCTTTCCCTGCCCCCAAGGCCCCTCTCAGCCTGGGCAGCCGGTCAGCCCCACCCACCAGGTAACCGCACCTGTTCAGTGTGAGCCCCCCTGTGGGCCTGCCCAGGCTCTGCATCTTGTGCCCCCCCCCCGACGCTGCCCCCTCTAGAGTCGCTCCCCCCCCATGGGATCTTCCATCCCCTCAGTATCCCCATATGCCCCCCAGCACCCCGTCCCCTCGGTACCCCACACCCGAGCCCACGTGGCGCCCTCTCTCCAGAGCTCCCTGGGGGGCCAGGCTGCGCCCCTGGGCGGTGGGGGGGACGGGCCCCCAGCCCTGCACTGAAGAGGAAGAGACCCAGCTGGGGGGGGGGGGCTGTAGGGGAGCTGGATCATCAGAGGGGTAGAGCCTCGTCCCCGGGGGGGGGGGGCTGCCCCTGTAACCCCTCCCTCGCTCCTCTGACCCCCCGTCTCCCCAGGGCCGTGCTGCTGCCGCTGCTGGACCTGCCACCCCCGCCCCAGAGGCTGCTGCTGCTGGTGGACGCGGTGGACGCTGGCGGCGCCCTGGGGGCCAGCGAGTGGCAGCCGGGGGGGCCCAGCACCACCATCGCCCAGCTGCTGGCCACCCACCACCACCTGCTGCCCCCCTGGCTGCTGCTCGTCTGCTCGGCCCGGCCCCATGGCAAGGCGCTCGCCCGGATGTTCGCCGGTGAGAGCCCGTGGGGGGCGCTGGGCACGCTTGGGGGGGCGGCTGTTTGCATGGCAGGGAGGGGCTGGAATTGAGTTGACAGTGAGCCCTTGTTGCCAAGAAGGCGAACGGCATTTT